ACACACATATAGAATCTAGTCAGAGAAGAGGTTATTATTATTTTTTATTCGGGGATACTTTTCCTCAAACCGTATAAAGTGAAAGACTACACTGTTTCTGTTGCTCTGGTCACGTAGCCATAAAAGCCATCCAATGCTCGATTAGGTCGGAATTGTAATTTCCATACGATAAGTGATTCGAACTCTTTTTCCAGTACGAAGGCCAGTGAGAATGCTGAGTAGGAAATGCAACTATTTTACAGCATTTACATACAGTGTCGTATCATTAACCCATACTAGTACATTTTTTAAATCATCAAGATGTGCGTTTTGTTCCATGTTTCTCAATAATGTTTTCCAAAACTTCCTTAATATGTAACTGCTACGTATTATTTTCCACTAGAATGACTTTAATATATATATACATACATATATACATATATATATATATAGAGAGAGAGAGAGAGAGGAAATTCAAGGCTAACAAGAGAGAGCCTATAACAATAAATCCTATACGTTATTCATGACAGCATTGTCTCAAGTTACGATACTCAAAGTCATAGGCCTCAAAATATACTTTCTTATTTACAGTGTTGCATTTCTTATTAAAATGTGCAAAGATTAATGATTCTTTTTTTTTTTCATGTTTTTGAAATGCGTGACTTAGAAACCCGAGCATTGTTAGCAGCAATAAGTGATCACGACTAGTACCAATAACTCATTCATTGCGTGGCATACACCCATATAGGTTATCAAACTGTCATCTAGATCATAAATGTTTTTCAACGTCTCCTAACCAAAACCTAATATCGGGTTCATTCTAGCTACATTTGATTTTTGATCGTTTACGGAGGCTTTGATGATGTAGTAAAGCGTAATCAGGATTCTAGTCCGAAAAGAAATGTTATTATTATTTGATGAAAATAACTAGTTTAACAAATCTAAAACATTTCGTGGCCCAGTAATGACAAAAACAAAAATTAAGATGTTCTAATTAGAATTAAAACAATCAAACAGTAGATTGTACTTAAGTATTTCTATGATATATTTTGAGATATACAAGTATAAATACTTATTATTTACTTAGAAAATATACGCATACATACATATATATCAAAGCACAGAAGTAATGGACCAAACATCTTCTTGTATACAACAGAGAAAATTCAGATAATGTTAGTTGGAGCTTTGAGGGAAGAACAATGGGTGTTAACATTAAAAACTACAATCAACGCACGAGAAGTTAAGTTATAAACTTTAAGGTTACAGATTTGTGATCGTTTAAACGAGATGAAATTGATAATTGTTTTAGTACAGCAGCATTGGATATTTTATAGATAAATGTGACGTGTTTAGATAATGGAGTTATGGGTTTCAACTACAACTGATTGGATGTATGTGATGTGTTTAGATAATGGAGTTATGGGTTTCAACTTCAACTGATTGGATATATGTGATGTGTTTAGATAATAGAGTTATGGGTTTCATCTTTAACTGATTGGATGTATGTCACGTGTTTTATTACAAGTTACTACCCATCAGTGTCATGTGTTTGAGTACAAGTTATTATCCATCAGTATCATGTGTTTTATTATAAGTTATTAGTCATCAATGTCATGTGTTTTATTACAAGTTACTACTCATCAGTGTCATGTGTTTTATTACAAGTTACCATCCATTAGTGTCTAAGGATAAGTTAGTTTAAACCTTCGTCTATAGTATGACAACAGATGTGTTATAAAGGAGTCCATAAACTATGCTGATGTTAAGGATTGTAAGCCAAAACTTATCGCAGGTATAGCCGTCTAAGTTAAGTGAAACATTGTAGTCTAGCTGAAGCAAACTAATGCCACTCTTTCTCTGTTAAATTTTTTCTGATATTGTTTGACTAATAAACAAGTTAATTAAAGGTGTTTCTTACCTGCGAAAGCGTACATTTGAACATTTGATGACGTAAAATCCAGCAATAAATGATACACAAAGAAAGACGTACGTTACTTTCAAGATCCAATCTCCTCGCAAGTGGCCATGTCTTACTGAATAAGCCGCTTTCAAGAGGCCTTGCGATATAAGCGGGAACGGATGAGCAAGCCTGTGAAACGCTTAGAACTACTTGACCAGAAAGCTCTTACATGAAACACTATACTGTTAGCTCTGTCGTGATTATGCCTGGCTGAAAATAGGAATGTTTTTTGTTTTATAGCTGTTGCAAGATTCATCTTAAAGCTGTTTAGCAGCTTCCAAATTCAAACTTATTACATAAAATGTACTGGAAACAAAGGCGAAGAGGAACATCTATTCAAGTTCCACATTTAAGTTGCAAGAGAACCACACGAAAACTTGTTGGTTCTAGGAATGATATATAAGTATTAAAATTTGTTCCACAGCTTACGCAGATAAGAATGAAGTACACTTGACATTTCAAGGGAAAAATGATAACTTATTCACATGCTTCTAAACTAGTTCTACGAGCAGCCTTATTTTGAATACTTTACAAATTCATTAACTCATGTGATATTGAGCTCGACAGATGTTCGTATGTAAATCAACTTTAAACAAATACATGAATAATTCTTTTGTTGGTATTAGTTTCTCAGCGTGAGATTTGATCCGTATAATATTTATTGTTTGCTCTTGAAAATTGTATTTAAGTGTATTTGTATCACAATAACCTATTAACTGTAATGCTACACGATGTTACAAAAAATATTTTTTTAATGATTTGAACCACACAAACTCATAATGAAACAAAATCCTTATTTATAGAATACTATACAATATGTTACATAAAACAAGGTACTTTAGAATTATATGTAATAATATACGTGTATATTCTATAAGCATTTATGTTTTGACTATTCTTCAATACATTCAGTAGCTCGATCCTACGAGACAAACTACCTTTAATAG